GACCCTGCTGGTATTTAAAATACTGGTGGCATAGCTTCCAGAATCACAGCAATTCATAAACCAGTACAGTACGACAAACTGACAGGGGAGTGGTAGATCATTAATAGAGATAATCTGAAATAGGAGATAGCTCCAGAAGGTTAATAATGTTGCTCAGGAATTTCACTTCAAGTATGTTAATAGCAGGGAGCTTCCCAAATAACAAGGAGAATTCTGAGTTAACTAAAACAAATAGGCATTTTGCTTTAGGATTTCTTAGGGGCTTTAATATTTACTGCTCCTTGGATAGATCCAAAGGAGACCGACCATATTCATGAGTGTTCCCCAAATACGTTAAATCATAAATTCATTTTTTAAAAAGCATTTTATAGGTAAAGTGTTTTATGAAATACATTTTCAAAAATGTAAATGTTAATATGTACAAAGCAAGTTACTCCTGACTTAAGTTTTAGGAAATATGTACTCTGTTTGCTTATACAGGGGGGCTTCAAAGAGTTTGTGGAAAAATACCAGTATCTTTTCATTCCATTTGTCCATAAACTTTTTGAAGTCCCACCTCCCCCCTTGTATGTATTCTGACATACACACTAAGCCAGAATATGAACCAACATAGATTAGTTCAATGATACACCATAAAAATAAAATTTATAGCCTGTAATGTATGATACTTTTTAAAAATTAGTGTGTATGTATTTTAGTTGCCTACCATTTGATGTAGCTTCCATAAAACAGTAGGAATAGGAGAAGTGAGATGCATTTAACAAACTGGAGAAAAAGTAGAGAGTCAAAGTCACACAGATTATGTTATAACATCAGTGGAATTCTTGACTTTAGTTCAGTTGCTCTGGAATCATAGTCAACAGACTAGAGACACAATGACAAATGAACAGTAGTAATTGTTGGCAAATAAAATAAGGCTTACACAAGATCAAGATGCTTCAAGTGTGCATGTATAGTAGTGAGAAAGTATGTAAGATTTTAAGACTTAGGATAAACCTAAGAACTGTCTTGATTCTACAATGTCCCAGAAATCCAGCTAGTCTTAAAGGACTTTTTGAACTAAGAAGGGGATATTCTTTCTGTCTCCGCCAGCAGTGTTGTTTAAAACCGCAGGAAAGAAAGCTGGCTTCTCAGGCTCCTGTGAAATTTACTGTCCCTCAGCCTGTGGGGCTCAGGTTGTTGGTGAACAAATGCACTTGGACTTTCTCTGCACAATCCTTGACCTACTGTAGTTATGTGGCAACTCTGGGTTTCACAAAGCTGGAAAGATAGAAGAGCCGGCTGAGGCCCATTATGAACTTTCATTACAGAGGTTCAGACCTCTCTCTGCAGGTAGGGTGGGGTAAGTCAATATGGCAGCCTCTGTCCTGCTGAGGAAGCAGCTTCTGCAACCTTGATGGAATGCAGGGCTTTTGCCTTCTGCTGGGAAGCATTATCTCCTCACTTTCAAAAAGGACAGTTTACTTCATTAAAAATGAACAGTGTTTTATAAGAATTTTCTCTCACAAAACCCCAAAGTACATAACTAAAGGGAAGCTTTAATACTAGAGAATGTCTAAGTGGGCGTGTGATGAGCTTTTACGGGACAAGGGAGGTACTTCTTCCCACTTTACAGGTGGGGAAATGTCCACATTTGCACTAAGGGTAGCTGGGACAAGTTTGAGATGAGAGTTTTTTTAAAGGACAAAGTGGTTTCCTCATAATCAATCTCAGTCTATGTTTTAGATTTTATAGGTGAAGGGCAGAGAGCTGAATAAATGAATGAAAACTGAGAAGAATGAAAATGTGTGCTGAAAACTAAGGAGGGAATACTTTCTCCCATTCCCATTCAAAACTGTTTAACTGGTTTCCCCTTAAATTTTTTTAAAAGGTAAGTGGAAAGAATAATCATTTATAACCCCATCTTCTATTACTAAAGAAGTTGATGTACACCTTCCCAGGTTTCTTAGTATGACTGTATATACCAGAAAGGGTGGCACTGTAGGGTAAACACCGGACTGTTAACCACAATTGGAGGTTCAAACCTACTAGCAGCTTATGGGGAAAATATGAGACAATCTGCTCCCATAAAGATTTACAGTCCCGAAACCCCAAGACTGGGTCACTGTGAACTGGAACCAACTCCATTGAAGTGGGTTTGGTTTTGATATATGCCATATATACTTTTTTAAAATAAAAAAATGTAATTATTAATGTATTTTGTAACATTATTTTTGCTTACTAATATGTTGTGAACATCTTTCTACATCAAGAAATAAGAACCCTGAACACAGGCAGTGAAACACTAGGTTAGGCCAAGTCCCAAGTTGGCAGTTTTGTAGTCACATGACTCTCATGTAGTTCCTTAGCTTCTCTAAGCCACAGGTTTCTTACTTGTATGGTCGAGGTTATAATAATACCAACTCCATGGGCTGCTGCTAAAATTAAAGACACAATGTATGTAGCGTGCTTAGCAAATACCTCCACGATGGCCATGTGTCTCAGTATAAGGCTGTTGTTGTTAAATGTCGTAGAGTTGGTTCCAACTCATAGCGACTGCATAGGGTTTCAAGGGAGTGCTTGGTGAGTTTGAACTGTCGACCTTGTGGTTCAAATTGACCTTGCGGTCCAGTGCTTTAATCCACAGCACCATACCAGGACCTCAGTATAAGGTAATTGTTAGTATTATTATTAGTATTATTAAGCACTCTCCATATGGTTATCTTATATTTTGAAAAATCTAATTCTCTGTTAATAGCTATTTTCTAACTTTTATAGACTTTTTATTTTGAAATAATTATAGATTCACAGGAAGTTGTAAAAAAACAGTATAGAGAAGTCCTCTGCGCCCCAAGCCCAGTTTCTCCCAATGGTGATATATTACGATTGGTACAAATGGAGTTCTGGTGCGGTGCTATAGGATAAGCACTGGACTGATAGCCACAAGGTCAGCAGTTCAAACCTATCAGTCTCTCCTTGGAAACCCTATGTAGTGTGGCTATGAATGAGAACTGACTTGACGGAGCGTAACAACAACAATGGTACAAACAGTATAAGAGCAGGAAATCTACAGCTCTTTTTTCGGTTTCCCCAGTTTTACATACACTAATTTGTGTGCATGTGCATCTGTTGTTCCCTGCAGTTTTACCACCGGTATAGATTCCTAGAACCACCACCACAATCAACATACAGAACTATCCCTCATCACAACCATTTCTCTCTTCTCCTTCCCTTTCCTTACCTCTGGCAACACTTAATCCTTATTCTTGTCTTTCATGAATGTCATGTAAGTAGAATAAAAGCACTGGACTGCTAACAGCAAGGTCAGTGGTTCAAACCCACCAGCTGCGACTTGGAAAGTCCATATAGGTATGCTATGAGTTGGAACCGGCTTGACAGTACTTAACAGCAACATATATATATAAACTTTTGAGACTGGCTCATTTCACTAAGTGCCATGTCCCAAAAGGCCATCCAAATCACTGCATGCATCAATAGTTTTGTTTGTGTACTTCATTAAAAAATTTTTTATTGTGAATTGGGTGAAGATTTACAGAGTTTTCCATCCAACAATTCAGACACATATTGTTTCATCTCCCTGATTGCAGTCCTCTCAATGTAGCATCATTTATCCCTCTTCCTCCCTGTTTCCATTCCTTCTTCTTTCCTAACCCTTCTGAACACTGTCCTTTGGTAAATGCTGCCCTTGTGATCTCAAAAGGTTGATTATTCTACGGTGTGTGTACCTCACTAGTCTTCCTGTTCCCCTTATAGATTTCAAAGGGTCGCTATGAGCTGGAACCAACTCCATGGCACTCAGTAAGAACAATACCACAGATCTAGAACGGTTTCTGCTTGGCTGAAAATTGAACCATAGGGGTGAGTTCAGTTTCAGACCTGAAGGGTGACCAAGGGCAATAGCCTCGGGGGTTCATCAGACTATTCAACCAGTAAGCCTTGTCCTTTCTATTATTTTTGAGTTTTGTTCCAAATTTTTCTCACACTCTAATCAGGATCTTCTAATGTGTTCCCATTCAGAGCAATTGGCGGTGGCAGCAGAGTAATACTCTTTCCACTGTACAGATGTTCCACAGTCTAATTAACTCCATTGTAAAAGGACATTTGAGTTGTTTCTAGCATTTGGCTATTGCAAGTAAAGCTGCTCTGAATACTTGTGTGTATGGGGTTTTGTCTGGAATTATGCTTTCATTTTCTGGGATAAATGTGCAAGAGTGCAATTGCAGGGCTGTGTGGCAAGTCTATGCTTAATTTTACATTAAAAAAAAACAACACACACAAAAAACCAGAGAACTTGCCAAAAGATTTTCCAGAGCGCCTGTACCATTTTTCATTCCCAGCTGTCATTTCTGAAAGATGCCATTCCTCTATATTCTCACAAGCATCTGATAATTTACGTATTTTTAAATTTTAGCTGATATAGTAAGAGGTGGCTTCAAAAAGTTCATGGAAAATGGAATGATAAGATAATGGAATTTTTCCATGGATTTTATGAAATCCGTCTCTTAGGTGTGTAGTGATGTCTTATCATGATTTTAATTTGCATTTTCTTAATGATTAATTATGCTAAACATCTATTTCTAATTTTATCTATGACAAGCAATGCTACAATGGATAAATTGTAAGTTTTTAAATTAATTCCTACCAATGAATTCCTCAAAGTGGAACTGTTGGATAGACAGATTTAAAAAAAGAAAGAAATATAATATCAAATTGCCCTTCAGCAGAGTATCAATGTATACTCTCAGTGGCAGCACGTGAATAGCTCAGCTTTTAAAGTATATTTTACAGTTCTCGTGACTTCCCGCAGGAGATTCAAAGGAAACCTCTGGCCAATATACTCTCCACTATACCAAGCAAAGCAAATCAAGTCAAAATGAATTTTCCCAAAATATTAATAGAACAGAAAATGAACCAACTAAGATACCCTCTCCAAGGACTTCCCATCTTCAGATATGCATTTAACATTCTCATCAAACACATTATGAAGAAAATGCATTTACCTTTATGGGCAATGTGGCACAGATCTTCTTGAATTTTGGAAAACTCTGATGAAGTTTCAGAGCCATCGGAATAATTCTTTTCTTCTCCAAAATCTATTGTTGATAAATTAGGGTTGGAAGAGTGTAGTCTTAGTGGGCCGGGAAAAGGTTTAGGGACCTAAAGCGACACCAAAAGGAGATATTTCTTTTTAGTTGCAGATTACTCTGACTATTTAGTTGGTTTGGGAGTAGTAGGAGCGGATCAAGTTGTAATTAAGGCTTTGATATAAGTGGTATTTATTTACGAGACATATAAATGAGAATTCAGAATAATACCTTACAGAGCAATGTGCACTGGTTTCTTGAAAAAAAAAAAAAAAAAAAGGGTGAGAAATCATGTATTTTTTTTGAGGGGGAGTTATAAGAGCATTAAAGTTGCAGGTTGAAAATGATAACCAAAGATGCCTGGCTTTTTCTCATTTAACACCCAATTTCTTCTCCATAACAAAAATCGTCCATATCTAGATGGCTAACGGTGGTTTAGTTTAAAAATACTTTTCCATATTTGCACCTGGAACGTCTAGAAAACAAAGTGACTCTTCACGTGTTGGTACATGAAATGCACTTGACTTTAAAATCATTTAAAGTTAACCCATAAAGTGCTTTGAACCAAAGAGAACATAAGAGTATGTCAGATTATTTATGTGATCGCATAAGCTTAGTTTTGACTATGACAATGTTGTAATTGAATAGGTGAAGACCAAGCTTCTGGCCTCTGGCTTAGCTGGGCACAGGGAAAAGACAGTGGCTTGTGTGACACACTGAACCTTTGATGGGGGATGGGGAGGCTGGAGACAGGAGGCCAAAAGGGGTCTTGCTCCAGAGACTTGGGCCAGTGTACTCGAAGGGACGATAAACCCCAGAGCATCAGCAGAAGTGGGTCAGAGCACAACAGCCACAATAGGCACAAACAAGGCACATACCCAAGCAGGGAAGAAGGCAAGCGGAACACCACAGAAGGGGAAACCAAAAGTCCTACTAATGGCCGTTGCCTTCCACGATCACATCATTTTTCTCTTAGTCAGCATCTTCTCCCATATCTAATATCCTGACAATCTAAGTGATTGAATTCATTTCTCAGCGCAGGGTATTTATGAAGAATGGTCTATTCTCCTCTGAGTCAAAAGTAGCCCCTCAGCACGTGGTGTGCAGAGCAAGGGCAATGAAGAAGCCAGCCTACTCGGGGGAGCGATGGTTACCTGCAGCGTTCCTTTAGCATCTTTGCCAATAGCTCTGGATCGCCACCTCCTATGCGATCTTTTTTCCTTTTTGGGACTTTCAAAAGCGCCACCCTTTTTTCAAAACAGGAAAGAGAGCACAGACAATAAGATCCTACAAACCAACAGGATAAACATACGCAAGGTGAACATCTCCATGCCCTCAGCTTTGGTTGAAGCAACCAAGCAGACAACATCCCATTGTTAGTCAAAGGCTGGGGAGTAGAACAGAAAGCAGAGAAGGCCAGAATGCAAACAGAAGAGGCATCTGGCTAACCTGGATGGCGTTGATAGCTGGTGCTGAATACGTCCGATGCAGAACGTCCATATTTTGTAGGAGTTGACTCATTTCCACCAGATAGGTGTGACAGTGTGCCAGGTCTGAGGGACAAAGAGAAAAGTGCTGAGAACTCTCCACTAGCAAGATAGAAAAAGGAAGCTGCATGGATTTCTCCTGACATGCAGACTTTATTTACCATGTTGGATGTCAGCTATCTCTCTCATTTATCTATATTTGATTTCACATCTGTTAAGAATAAGAAATTTTACTTTCTGTATTACTAGAGAAAACAGTATAGTGGTTAAAAGCATGGATCAGCAACCAGATGGTCTCAGTTTGAATTCACTTAATGATATGACTTTTGGGAAATGATATAGCTTTCCTATCCCTCAGTTTCCTCATCTGGAAAACGGTTCATAGGATAGTTATCAGAGTTAAATGAGCTGGCAGACGCAGACCACTTCGAAGAGTGTCTGGCACACAGTAAGCACTCAATAAATCAACTATTGTTAGCAGTGTTGTGATTACTGATCTTGCAGCAAGCGGCTGCTTTCAATGGCTTGCAAAGGTCTCGATACACACCAGCGGAGGCAACTAAAAGGATGTTTGTATTGGTATCTTTGCTTTTCATTGGCCTTTGAGAAGACGACGATGATCCTCTGCAGGAATGCAAAGTGACCTGAGAGAACCTAAGACTATTCTCAGACCAGTTCCTAGGTCACTAACATGCAGAGAGAGTCCATAATTTGCTATTCATTGAACATACACAGTTGTGTCTGCTGAGGGATCAAGGCCCAAATGCCTTAGGATCCCAAACCTGATCAGACCCACTGCTGTGGAGTAGACTGCCACATCTTTCCCAACAGAGCAGCAGCTAGGGTGTAGCAGCTGACCTTTTGTTTAGCAGCCAACTGCTTTTATTCCTGTGCCACCAGAGCTCCTCTGCGTTAGGGTTCCACCACGATTGAGCCAATTCTAACTCACAGTTTATCCTACAGGACAGAGAAGAACTGCTCCCTCGGGTTCCTGACAGTATAAATCTTTATAGAAGCAGACAGCGTCATCGTTCTCCCACAATGCAGTAAGTGGGTTTGAACCAGTGACCTTGTAGTTAGCAACCCAATGTTTAATCAACTGCACTACTAGGGCTCTTATGCCTTAGGAGTACTGTTGTTGTTAAGTGCCATCGAGTTGGTTCTGACCCAGAGCGACCCTCTATAGGGTTTCTGAGGAGCAGCTGGTGAGCTTGAACCACCGACCTTGTGATTCAAATGACTTTGCAGTCCAACACATTAACCCACAGAGATACACCAGTACTCCTGCCTTAGGATAGTGGCTCTCAAGTTTAATATCATTAGAATCTCCTTAAGAACTTGTTGAAGCACAGCTCCCTGGACTGCAGCCCCAGTTTCAGTATATCCGGGTGAGCCTGAGTCTCATTCTGAACAAGATCTCTGGACACACTGATGCTGCTGGTGTGGGGACCATATTTTGAGAACTGCTGCTCCAAGCTGTCACTCGGGGAAGTTCAAAAGTGACCGTTATTGAGAGGGGCAGGTCTCTATGGCCCCAGGTGTGATCATGTTTATCCTTTATTCAACAGGAGACAAATACAATTTTCAAGGCTACCATCTGGTGTCTTTGTGTAATCGATCTTTACAACTTTAGCTATACTTCAGAATCACTTGGAAAAATTTTTAATTGAATATGCCCAAGTCCCACCCCAAACAATACAATCAAAGCACTCCTAACCCCACTGGGGATTTCCTTTAGTTCCCATGGTGATTCTTAGCTAATTAAAGTGGAGAATAACTGAGCTTCATCATGGCAGCTGTTCTTAATGCTGGCTCCACATCAGAATCACCTGGGATACTTTGGAAAATTAACGATGCCAGGGCTCCACCCAAGACCAATTAAAGCAGATTTATTGGGAAAGGCAAGGCACCTGGGCATGGGTATTTAAAAAATCGTTTGGATGTTTGTTAATGTGTAGTCAGGGTTGGTAACAACTGATGAGGAATATCCCTTAGGTTTGCCTGCTCACTTATAAACTGTAATTCTCGATCTTACACATGTACCAGAATCATTTTTGGCACTTGTAAAACAAAGAGAAATGCCCAGACCCCCACCTCTTAGAGATTGTGGTTCAGTAGTACAGTGTGGAAATCAGACATTGGTACTTAAGCAAAAAAAGTTAAGAATTAAAATAAAAATTTTTCTTCACATGCACACCAGATGGTGGCATAAAGTTCTACAACCAGTGTCTTAGGTTTATCGTGAGTTCCACCTTAATAAAAGTAAATACTAAGCCAGAATGCAGACAAAGAAAGATGAAGAAAACAAATTCTTTTATGGTATAAGAGCTAAGTCAATAGATTCAGAGCTGTGAGCAGGACAGGTTTCTAGGCACTCTACCTTGTGAGCATTTTTCCATGTCCTCTGATGACTGTAACCACAGTGGGACTCTTGTTTCCCCAGCACAAGAAAATGACAAATTGCTTCCGGTTTGAAAGGAATGCTGCTTTGATATACTGCTGCGCTGTTCACAGATGACAAAAGCACATTACAAATGAAACCGAGTTCAGAGGGAACAGTTTAGGGTAAAGGTAACAAAGTGGCCTAGTCACCAACAGAAGCCATCTAGTTGCTTCTAATGAGGAAGACTCTGGCAAGACACCCCACAGGAAACCTTAAGATCTCAGGCCATCTCCCCAATTCAACCACACCAGGCTATGAGACCTTGGGTTGTAGTCCTTATTTTCTTCTCTGGTAAATGACAATTGTACCAAAACAATGATATAAATGGTCAGGAATATTTTACAATCCTACATGGCAGTTTAGTACCAGATTAGGAAAACCATACTCAAACTAGTCAAGAGAAAGCTAGAGCATTTGGGGACATTATTTTACAACATTTACATTTTGCTGCATTTTATTCTTTAGCTACTGGCTTACATGTAATGCATGGGGGAAAGCGGGTGGCGTGCTTCAAAGAGTTCATTTACAGATACTGAAATCTGTTCACAAACTTTCTGAATCTCCCCTCATATGCTCACCTGTTCTTGGCTCTGACTAATGGGCTGTTCTTGTTGTTAAGTGCAGTTGAGTTGGTTCTGACTCAGAGCTAATTAAATACAGCTTCTCCTCTCCCCAAACCTTTCCTTCCTCAGACACAGACCACCCCCTAAGATGAGACTATCTGACACAAGACCACCCCCCTCCGTTTAGATTCAAGACTTGCCAAACACTGATTACCTTCCTATTGGACATGGAGTCAAAGACGCCAGAGGCTGAGTCTGCAACGGTGGGCCCGGAGAAAAAGTGATTGGCTTCACGGGGAAACATGGCGATTTCATTTTGACGATACATTCTGTGATGACGGAGTTTGGATACCCATTCATCAAAGCCATCTTCTGACTTCACCTAAAATGTGTTATATTGAAAAGAAAATCACTGAAAGGAAATCTAAGTCACTCTGTCCCCGTCACTTAATGTTGGCACATGTGCTGTTGTTATTCGTTGTTGTCATTGGCTCTGACTCTTGGCGACCCCTGAACAACAGAACGAGACAATGTCTGGTCCTGTTCCATTGTCACAATTGTTGGGATGCTACAGTCCAGCACAATCTAAGACAATGTGCTATTGTGATCCACAGCGTTTTCTTTGGCTAATTTTTGGAAGGAGATTGCCAGGTTTTTCTTCCTAGTCTGTCATAGTCTGGATCTCCACTGAAACCTGTCCACTATGGGTGACCCTGCTGGTATTTGAAATACTGGTGGCATAGCTTCTGGCATCAGAGCAACATACAAGCCACCATAATACAACGAACTGCCAAATGGGTGATGGTTGGCAGGTGTAGAAATCAGGACTTTGAACTGATTCATCATGGTTCAACCCCCTGCTGAGACTTTGCCTTTCCACTCCAGATATACTGAATCAGAATCTGTCATGGACTCAACTGGGTCACTTCCCCACAAAATATGTGTCAGTGTGGCTGCGCCATGACAGTTATGGGATGATTCCCCATGAAGTGATCTGATGTGACAAACCAGTAAGAGGATTTAAGACTGTGATGTTGTTAGGTGCCACTAGTTGGTTCCAACTCATAGCAACCTTGTATAGGAGCAGCTGGGAGGTTTGACCTGCTGACCTTGATCCACAGCAGGACTCCAAAGAGGGAAATGTTGTTAAGTGCCCTCGAGTGGTTCCGACTCATAGCAACCCTGTATAGAATTTCCAAGGAGCAGCTGGTGGGTTTGAACTGCTGACCTTGTGGTTCAAAGTCCAGTGCTAATCCTTTAGCGCTAAAAAGGGAAATTGTTGTTGTTATGTGCCGTGGAGTCGGTTCTGACTCATAGCAACCCTGTACAGGGTTTCCAAGGCTGTAAATCTTTACGGGAGCAGAAAGCCTCATCTTTTTCCACGGAACAGCTGGTAGTTTCGAACTGCTGACCTTGCAGTTCGCAGCCCGATTCGTAACCACTACACTACCAGAGCTCCTTAAAAAGGGGAAATACACTGTCCTTAATCCCATCATGACTGATCAGACATAAGGGAGATTCCCAGGGCTGTGGCATGCAATACCCTTTATCTTACAAAAGACAAAAGGAGAGTGAGGGAGCTGAGAAAGACGGGCCTAGTGTAGTTCTGGTAGCAGTCGGGCTGCTAACCTCAAGTTCAGGAGTTTGAAACTATCAGCGATTCCAGAGGAGAAAGATAAGGTTTTCTGCTTCCATAAAGATTTATAGCCTCAGAAACCCTACGCAGGGTCGCTATGAGTCAGAACCAACTCCACATCACACCACCACCACCACCAAGAAACAAGGGTGCATCCTTTGGCCGTAGGTCCCCTCACTATGAACGTACTACATCTAGAGAATTGATGCCAAGAGTCATGGAGATCTCCAAGGAATTCAAGCATTACCAATGCCGAATGGAGACTAGGATCTTTCTCCAGCGTTGACAAAGAAAGATACGCCATCCCCTAGTGCTGGCACTCTGAATTTGGTCTTCTAGCCTCCCGAGCTATGAGAGACTAACATAATTACAGCCATCACGTGTGGTATTTCTGTTATAGCAGCACTAGATAACTAGGACACAATCTATACCTGAACAAGATGCTTCTGTCTCCTAAGAATCACCTGGGGATCATTGTTAAAATGTAGACTCTGAATTAGCGTATCTGAGGTTGAACCACAGTGAACCAGTTTGAAGCCCTACTTGTTTTACATTTATGTGATCTAGGGGGGAAAGTTTGAGGAAGAGGTGAAATGTAAAAAAGCTCTTCATTAACTATATATTTATGTTACCTATGAAAAAGTCCAATTGTTATGCTATTTTTAGGAAGGCAGATGATATCAGGAATATCACCAGGCAAACTGAAATTCTTATCTTTCTCTTAAAGCATTTCCCAGTTCACCAGTCCCAGTTTCTCCTATCCCTACAGGAAATCTTAACACCATCTTCTTTTTAAACTCTTTAGTAATTCAAACTTTACAGATCAATCTTCTCTGAACCATAATGAATTAGTAAATTTTTCCTAAAATATTTAACCTTGTTAATCTTCTTTGACAAAGACTGCATCTTAGAATTAACATGAAGAATACATGTTAATGAATGTGAAGGTTATTTAAAAGAACATTTCTTTTGCTCACAGAAATAGGAAAAGATATTAAGAAAAGAATGATTTTTCATACACACACATTTAGCTTTCCTTTTCAAAGATATTGATAATAGATTATCAATATCTAATAACTATGAAGAATGTTTGTAACTAGTAAACATATATTTTAAATATTCATGAAAATACTAAAAGAATAAGCACCTGTATACTTGATGTGGCACATTTGGTTAATGCGCTGGACCGTAAGGTCAGTTTGAATTGCAAGGTTGGTGGTTCAAGCTCACCAGCTACTCCTTGGAAACCTTATACAGGGCTGCTGTGAGTTGGAACCAACTCAACGGGACTTAACAACAACAACCATGCCATAGAGAAATTTCTTAATAAGTCAATACTGTTTTGTGTGTATGTGTGTCCCAATATTTTCAAAGTGAAAAAATGAGAAATACCTATGTATTAAGAGACAAAACAAACAACTATCATTGAGCCAATTCTGACTCACAGTGACCCCACGTGTGCAGAGCAGAAGTGCTCCGAAGGATTTTCAAGGCTCTGAAAGATGCCCGAGACACCTCTGCATAGGTTCAAACTGCTAACCTGTTAATTAGTGTAGCTGAGCTCTTAACTATTTACGTCAACCAGAGACTCCTATGTGAAGAGGCAGACTCAGGAAGCTGCACTTTAAAATATCCTAAAAGCATGTATCGTAAGTCAACTTCCAAGATGACAGATCCAGGTCAAGCCTGTTAAAGTCTTTACTAACGCTACAGCTGAGAGTGAGAATGAGGAACTAAATGTCAGTGGCATCATTCATTTAGGAAATGTTATGTTGGCTTATGTTTGTTTCGTTGATTAATACACAGCAGTACAGACTTAAAACCCTCCAGATACTACTTAATGTGCCATTTACTGGAAGATGCAATACAGACAGACAAATCTATTTGTATCCCTAAATTAAGTTCTTCAAATGTATTTTATTTCCCAGATGCGGTTAATCAGAATTTTACAGGAATCTTGATACAAAATGATTGTGTCATTCTTCACACTAAGCTAACCTCTCAAACCAAAACCCACTGCCCTCAAGTTGGTACCAACTTACCGTGACCCTATAGGACACAGTAGACCTGTTCCCCACAGGGTTTTCAGTCTTTATGGAAGCAGACTGCCACATCTTTCTCCCACAAAGTAGCTACAGGATTTGAACCATTAACATCTTTGTCAGCAACTGAGCACAGTGCCACCAGGACTCCTTAACCTTATGTCAGAGGTCCTTAAAAGGAAATGCCAAAATGCATTCACCTTGACTTTGTTATTGGGTAAACATGGTAGAGGGAGAGAGATGAAGCTTTCTGCTCCGGTGAAGATTTAAAGCCTCAGAATCTATATGAGTAGGAACGGACTCCAAAGCACTTAACAATAACAGCAAAAAAACCCAAGGTGGAAGAGTCAAAGCACTTTATTAAATAAATGACTAGGGTTGTTGTTCCTGACTCTTAACTAAATTACAGGACTGTAGACTATTTATGGGATACTTAACCTCTCTCTGCCCAGGCCCCTCATCTATAAAATAAGAATGGAAATAGACTGCTCATATTTAAAATTTTTGTGACTATGGGTTATTAACTAGAACTCTCAGATAACTATACAGTTAACAATCATAGCTGATGTTCAAAAGCATAAAAAGAACTTAGAATCAACACAGAGCAATATTAAATTGTTTTTACTACAATATTAGGATTCAATGTATGTTAAGGTATTCAAGTTTTGGTTTTTTCCTCTTTTGACTGAGAATTAATCATTAGTGTTAGTCTGTTAATATCACCGAGAAACAAGAACCCATTATTTCCAGACCATGGTATAACACAGAACCCAGAGTAGGTGGAGAAATCACCTAAATTTCTCCAGGAGACTGACCAATGAACAGAGGAAGTCTTCCTTAAATCTTTTCTCCCTCTTAAGATTATATTAGTCATTTTCAACCAGGGTTGAGAATTATGAGGATTTCTGCTTCCATAAAGTCTGACAACCTCTAAACCCTATACAGGGTCGCTATGGGAGAGAGCTGACTTGACGGTACACAGCAGCCATTCTCTCCAAAGCTCATGCTTCATTGTGTATTTAACTTATCTACACCACTATCAAGGAGCCCTGGTGGCAGACGGGCTAAGTGCTTGGCTGCTAACTGCAGGTAAGTGGTTCAAATCCATCCTCCACCTGCTCTGCAGGAGAGTGACGTGAAGATTCACAGAACCCTGCGGAAGCAGTTCTACTCTATCCTATCGGATCACTATTAATTGAAATTGGCACACAGCCACACTTTGGTTTGATACTACCACCTAACAATAACTCACTGTGGGAGAGAGTGACAGGCACCAAAGGCTAAAAAGCCAAGAGAGGCAGGGCCTTGAACAGGTTCATGCCTGCTGAGAGATTGCCTTCCCATCCCAGGTGATTCTTATAGAAGCCCTGGTAGAAATGTACAACTATCGCATTGACTTGTTTTCAGTGCTCTGAACTGCTTCGTTCCAGTTTGACAGCCCCTCTTCCTCCAAGAATTTGCCTGTCCACCCTAGTTAGACTGAATCAGACCCCCAGTTTCAATGGGTTTAATAAATTTATCCATTGAGTTCCTATTAGTGGCACCCAATATTCCTTTGAAATACCAGACCGCCTTGGCAATGGCCAATGGTAAATTTCAGGTCTACAGAGTTTTGAAAGTTCTCCAAGCATTCTGTGTTGAAATGGCACTTGTGCAAAACTGAAGCTCCCATAGTTGGGTCACTTTATGTACCACTCAATAAGTCTTTCCCCTTCAAGAAAAGAAAGAAAATCACTCTCAAACCCAACCCTTCTGGCTACGGCATCTTTCCTCCTGTCAGATCTCTTCAGACTCCTTTTTTTGCAGTGAAATAAGTGACCAAAAGCTAATCTGAGTTACAAAGCACAGGATAGTGATGGCTGTAAAGAGAATGACAGAGCAACCAAGGCACTCGTTCACCTACCACATCTCACAGAAAAATAAAGATAACAAATCCATACATTACAACAGCTAGACTGACAAAATCCATTTATCCAAGTGGGGGAAGGCAGGAAAAAGAGGTGTGAGGGCAAACGGCTTAAGGAAAAACCCAAAAAACTTAAATCAGTCCAGGCATGGCATCCAGTAAATGTTAGAAAATAGCTACAGAAAAACCTGCAGTCCTTTCAGATTCATTGTGTTAAAAATCCACAAACGGGTATCAGGAAGATTCTGCTTAAGTGTGCCAGAGACAAAGTTCCAATTTCTCAGAGTGAAGTGAATTTACAAAGTGCCTTTGGTGAGTGGATCCTGCCTTCCCTAGAAAGGGGTGCAGGGGAAAGAGCTACTCCACCCTCCTTCCAATCCCATCCATTTCCTGGGAAAGCATCTAAAGTGAGAGTCCTTCAGTTTGGCAGAAGATGAACTTCGCTGCTGAGGTTGTGCTACTCAGAGCTGACAGTAGGTAAACTGTCTTGTGGAAGAGTCTTAAGAAGACCGCCACAGAGAACAGGCACAAATGATAAGGAACACTTCGCCAGGGGGCTTCATTGGCTCTGATAAGGAGAAAGGATGGAGAAGAGACAATCACTGATAATTATGAGGGCAGCATTGCTGTGTGAGGCAACCAAGGGCAACCCAAATCCAAAGTATTAAGGCCAATTCCTTTTTATGTTTGACAACCTCTGGTGTGTTTCAATTCCTTTATTGAACCATTGATGTTCAAAGCAGTACAGTGAATACAGAAGGGGCATATGCAGAAGACTAACCAGCTGACCCACAAGATCATCGGGAAGAGACTCAAAACATCCCCTAAAGAAACGAGCCTGCAGGGAAGGTTGAAGGACATATCAGCAATTATTTTGTTGACACTAGCAAACAAGCACTGGTGGCAGAATGGGTTATGCATTGGGTTACTTCAGTCAGCAGTTTGACAGTTCTAATCCATCAGCTGCTTTGAGGGAAAAAGAGGGTTTTTGCTCCAGTAAAGATTTATAGCCATGGTCACTATGAGTCAGAATCAACTCATAGGCACTGGTTTGGTGTTTGGTTAAGTTTGGTTAAGGCTATCCCTGGTATCTCAAGCTGATCTCTCAGATTAGCTAGAGCTTGGAACCAAGGGCATGAACAACTTTGCTAAGCACAAACAGGGAGAGACCCAAAGAGCACTGAAAACTGACATTAGGAAGAATTCCAGCCATGACCAAACATTTTCATGAAGTGATGTTGTTGTTGTTACATGCTGTTGAGTCGATTCCGACCTATAGTGATTCTGCATGGGGTTTCCAAGGAGCAGCTGGTGAGTTTGAACCACCGACCTTGCAGTTGAAATGACTTTGCAGTCTGACGCATTAGCCCACAGTGCTACACCAGGACTCCTTCAGGAAGTGACAGATCACCAATAATTTGTGCTATTACTGACTGAAGCACAGGAATACTTGGTAAAACGTATCTTCAGTAGTCTCACATGCAAGTGAAAGTTGGACAGTGAATAAGGAAGACTATAAAAGGATTGATGCAATTGAGTTATGGAGCTGGGGAGAATATAAAGATGTCATGGACTGCCAGAAGAACAAACAAATCTGTGCTGGAACAAGTACAACCAGAATATTCCTTAGAAGCCAAGAAGAGCAGACTTCCTCTCTGATAGACTGGACATATTATTATCAGGCAGGACCATCCCTGGAGAAGGACATCATGCTTGGTAAAGTGGAAGGTCAGTGAAAAAGAGGGAAACCCTCAGCGAGATGAACTGGTACAGTGGCAGCAACAATGGGCTCAAGCTTAGCAGCAAGTCTGAGGATGGCGCAGGACTGGGCAGTGTTTAGTTCTGTTGTACACGGAGTTGCTATGAATCAGAATCAACTGGACGGCACGTAACAAGAGAACAAGAGGGAACAACCATAATACTCTTCCATTCCAAGCACAGTACTGGTAAAATCTAACAATACACAGCTCCCTCGCTCGCTTCCGCTCTGTACACTGGGCTCTCCTCTGTGCCAGGATACTACCTGCCCTTCCTCCACTCTTCTTCCTTCTTTTGGCTGTATTTCAGCACCCAGCTTTGAGACGGTATAGGCATACCAGAGAGACCTTGATTTCCCTGGCAAGGTCCTGGAGAAAGGTGTTGATACTGTTAGTCATCTCTTCACCACCCAAATGACAGCTACATAGAAGTGAGTAGTGCTCCAAACTTCTCATCGTGGCCCAAAACCTCACCCAGTTTGGCCGCCCTCCACCACAGGCCCAGTCAGCTCTTCCTTGCTGGCCTCCAGTCTTACCAGGGTACTTCCTTCCCCAGGTGATTTTATAAGTCACCTGGGGATCTTATGAAAATGTAGATTCTGATTCAGTATATCTGATGTGGAAAAGGCAAGCTCTCAACAGGGTATGAAACTTGAAGTCCTGTTAGGAGGTACTATTTGGAAACCCACAATTTAAGGGAAAATGTCCTGACATTTCACTGCAATATGAAAATCTTAATGAAATTCATATAAAATTGACTGGAGTTGCAAAACAGGGCTCAGTAAACTCGATATGGTAAGCATTATATTGTGTATCAGGGAACATACTATAACCTACAGTAAATGGGTTGCACTGTTGGGTGGGGGGGAAAGGCAGCGTTAGGAAACAGACTATCACTGGAGGAGGGGTGTTACTGGTACTTAGGAGATGCAGGGACCGGGATACTTAACCTTAAGCAATGTGACAGACCTCCACAACAAAGAACCATCCCATGCCAATACCAACAGGAATGAAGATCTTCTCAGAAGCTGACTGGAAATATTCAAAAGGCATCACCATTAGCTACTAAATCACAATGACTTTTCATGTGGATGGGATGTGCTTACTTGGTATAACAACAGATACCCCCTGCCCAGCGCAATGGGGAGACAGTGACTGTGAAGCCACCTCACCTTCAGATGATAGATGTGCTCCTCAGTATCAAGATCGATGCACTTTGAGGACTTCTTTACAGACATCACAGAGAGCCCAACGTCAATGCAGCCATGCAGCTTCTCTCTCTCTATCTGTAGAAGCACCAAGAGGACAGCTTGAGCATCGTGGTGTTAAAAATAATAGTAATATACTTGACACTCTCTTCCTATACCCTTACTTTCCACAACCACTATCAGGAAACTTAGTAGCTACATTTAAGTGCTGGTCATCCATTTTTTCATTTAACCTGTGAAGTAGGAAGCCTTATCACTATTTTACAGATGAGAAGACTGAGGTCCAGAGAAGCCAAATAACAATGATTTTGCCACTAAGTGAGGAAGTCAGAATGTGAATCCATGTAGTCTGACTCCAATGGCAGTGAATTAATGGCTTAACAACATTGCTTCCCATTAAATCATTTCTGGTGTCCAAATTCATGTAATTTCATTTATAAAGGAGAACACAGGCTGGAAGCTAACAGGCTAGAAGATGAAGGAAGGAAGAGAGAAGTGCTAGGTGGGAGAAAGACCCCTACAACAGGTAGGGCTGAAGGCCAGTTAGTTCTCCTGGGCTGAACTTAAAGAGAAGAACGCCACATAACCTTCAACCAGCTCATCTCCACCTGCTGCCTGTTTTGTTGCTGCTATTTACCTGTGAGGATGCCCTCTATCACTGAGGAAACAGATCCCGAGACATCCAGTAGGTTCTTGTCAGGAGTCTCCTGCCCCGCCCCTCACACCGCCCCCCTGGTGGTTGAAGTGAGCCCACCTGGCCTCCAGAGCGAGGACAATAGAGCCTAGGCACTCCTGGTTTCACATGAATAAACTATCAGATTTACACGATCTCATTCTGACAACCACTAGCCCTTCAGAATTCTTCAATTGCATTCTGGATAAACAAGAAGCCTTACGTCAGTTTGGCTCTTGGCATATTTCAAGATTCCTTTGTCCAGATAGAAGAATCTCTGTGGGGAAGAAAATTCAACACATTAAGATGTTCCACTAAAAAGTCCTTCTTTTGGTCTCAAATATCAACTTCAAATTAAAGATAAATATCTCTGAACTTGACACTGAGTTGGGTGACATGAGAACAAATAAACGAAGACCAATGTCTCACCTTGTGCCAGCCCTTTAAGGGCCATTTCCTCTTTTTCAGCAGGAATCCTTTCTGAACTGGAGGCTCCTGGGTATAATTCATCTCTCCCCTCAATCCTTCCACCACTTCCCAACTGTCCTGTTAATAAAAACAAAAACAAAAAGAGAAGGTTCATGCTAAATGACTATCTTTAACATAATAATAATGCTAAACAGCGCTTAGCTCTATCAGTAAATCCATCCAAGACAGTAAGCCTGCCTCAGTTTGTTGGTGAGAAGAAATTCAAATTGAATTTCTATATAGACCCTGGACTTTAGAGATTGAATGCTGTACTTCAGTGGTGTCAAATACGATTTGATTTTTTTCTAAAAGCTGTTTGTTAGTAGGAAATGTCTCTGTGTGGTGCGAAGACTTTAACAACAAAGGTAAAGAGTTACACAGCAAGTTCTAGTTTTGTGCTCTTTGACATCATCGTGGCAGTTACTGTTCATCCATCACTGCTCTTCAATCTGAGTTCTATCCAAATGCTACAGACATCAGTTTGGAAGGTGGGTGTCAAGGATGTTTGTGTGTGGCAGCAGGGAGTGAGGATCTTAGAAACTGGCTGAACATATGAGAGTGAATGCAAGTTAGTTAACATGACAACTTGGGCCAAGTACTAGCTGAACATAAATATCTTCAAATTCTAGGTATTTAAATCTTAGAAATCAAGAAGCATCAGAGTGATAAATTTTCATTCTTTTTTTTATGCCCCTTTCATTTCAAAACTTCTTTTTCTTCTGCCAGTTATTAATTATTGAACTGTTTTCCATTTTTAAACAGGTAAAATAGTTGTGATAATTAATCTTCAGTTATTAGCTATTTGTTGTTGCTGTTGTTGTTACGTCTCTGAGAGTTGGTTCCGACTCATAGCAATCCTCTGAAGGGCTTTGTACTGGGCTGCTTCTTCTACAACGCCACATCAGGACTTCTGTCGGCTATTTTTACCTTTTCAAATAGTTGGCTGAAAAAAGAATTTAAGTTTAATAAGTAATAAAAAATATTACAGGTTGCCGGGGGCAGGAGGTAAAGGGGAAGTTGTTGTCTAGGAAGCAGTGAGCTTCTGTTGAAGGTGACAGGAAATCTGGTAACAATTATGGTGATGGTTGTACAACAGGATAAATCTAATTAATATCATCTCTAAAGGACACATCTGAGAAATGGTAAATTGGATAATATTGTATTACATGTTTTTACAAGTTTTTTTTTTTAAAGAATGACGAAGATAAAATTTCTTTTTAGACTTTTAAAAAATTAAATTTTTAAAAGTTTAAAAATGCATAAATCATAGAAAATCATCCCAAGGTAGACCATGATTGTAAACGTTTCTGTGACAAGGATAAATGTTTTTTACTTTTATTATTTAAAAAACATTTATTGGACACCCAAACTTGCAGATAGTACCCATTTGACCTAACCTCGATGGCTTGATAATCAGAACTCAAACAAAGGAAGATTTAAAAAAAAAAAAAAAATTGATAAGGGAAACGAGGGTAAACTGCTGCAATTTGATGACCTTGACATATACTCATGGAGGTGGCGGTGGTGGTTATGCAACAGAGAGGGAAGGAGTCTTCACATCAAGTAACAGTGCTCTCTCCTCTGTATATAGGGTAGCTAGGGACAGGTAACTTAGACATTGGCTACCTAAAATGAGGGGGTGATAAAGGCTTGAAGTGACTGGCTTACAGGTTTCAAGAAGGTGTTTAGTTTAAAAGTATGTGAGGGAAGATAAGAGTCCCCACTGAATAGTTTTCATCTTGTCTAGATGGGTCTGGTTAAAAGAGATGGGGATAAGTTTCTTATGATTCAATAGTGTGTAATTGTTATCATGACTGATTGCAACTGTCACAATTATAAAGGTAGAAGCTTTGTAACAAAAAGGTGAGAGTAGTTAATCTTACAATTCAGAAACAGAGGACCCTAGGACCATCAAGGGAGAAGAACACAAGCAGAATGCAAGACCTTATCCAGAGAAGCCAGCCATGCCAGAGATGGAGGCAGAGATGGAGACATGGTGAGAAGGAGCAGCTGAGGACTCTAGATTCATGGACACAGAGGAACTGAGAGCTGGTGTCCAGGAGGCAGACTTGCAGAATGTGCCCTTTGGTGGTGTAAATTATTATATATGTGTGAGTGTTTAAAAAAAAAAAAAAGCTAAAATGAATAGAGAGAAATGCTGCTAACTGACGGTACATAGAGGGGATTATAATCATTGTACTGAAATAAAGTATATGATTTTATGATTTGTTGAATGTAAAACTGATGATCTGCCCTGTAAACTTTCACTCAATTCACAATAAAAACTTAAAAAAAAAAAAAAATTTACTGGGATATGTTGCTGCTGTTATTGGAAAGTACACTTTCTGACTCTCAGACTCTGTAGAGGGTTTCCAAGAAGCAATTGGTAGGTTTGAAATGCCGACCTTGTGGTTAGCAGTTCAGTGCTTGTTCTACAGCGCCACACCAGAATTCCTTATTGGTATATATTGCTGTTGCTAAGTGTTGAAGAGCAAAGATGTCAGCTTGAGGACTAAGGTACATCTGACCCAAGCCATGGTATTTTCAATAACCTCATATGGATGCGAAAGCTGGACAGTGAATAAGGAAGACCACAGAAGAATTGATGCTTTTGAGTTATGGTGTTGGAGGAGAATATTGAAAGTGCTATGGGCTGCCAAAAGAACCAACCGATCTGTGTTGGAAGAAGTGCAGCCAGAGTGCTCCTTGGAGGCCAGGATGGCCAAACTTAGTTTCTCATACTTCGGACGTATTGTCAAAATGGCAGCATCAATGGAGTCAAGTGTGGCAACAATTGTGAGGTTGGCCCAGGACTGGGCAGTGTTTTGTTGTGTTGGGCATAGGTTTGCTATGAGTCGGTACTGACTCGATAGCACCTAACAACAACAAGCTCCGTCAAGTCAATCCCGACTTATAGCGACCCTATCTATATAGGGTTTCCAAGGAGTAGCTGGTGAGTTTGAACTGCTGGCCTTGAGGTTCAAAAGGACCTTGTGGTGGAATGCTTATCCTACAGCGCCACACCAGGACTCCTATCGGTATATAACATACATGAAATGCCAAATTTTAAGAGTAGAACTCAATTAATTTATACACATATATTAACTTTTGACAACATGTCACTTAGACCAAGGTTTGGTTTTAGTCAAATCTGTAGGCTGAAGGCACGTATTTCAGGCCAGAGACAAGGAGCTACAGACAGCCTGGCACTTAATACCAGGCAGTTAAACTCAAGTTCAAGTACGAACTGTATACAGTGAGGGCAGGGGATTTGCAGGGATTCCTGGGTGCTCTAGCTGGGCTTCTGGATTGTTCTTGAGTTCAGTAAACTGGACCCACCTGATAACAAGAACCCTTTCCTAGTTTAGCAACTGAAGTCTTTATATGAGGATCCTGACAGATCTGCCTCAAACAGATTTAGCTTTTACAGTGTGAAAAAAATTAAAGGTGCATTCCATCAAAGATGATGGTGGAACATCAATATCTGGAGTTACAAAAGGATTTTCTTCAATGGAAGACATGCTAAATTTGGGGGGAGGGGAGGGATTCGTTCTAATTCAGGGAACTTTCCAGAGGAAGTTAGCAATGTGAAACTTCTTTATCATTATTATTGTCAATTATTCAAGTCACTTGATTATCCCCAGACAATAAGTGGAGAGTGCATATTAGTAAGTGATAAGAAGCTACACAAAAACATTTCTGTTCTTGTTTCTTTCATCTCAGAAAATCACTCTCCTCACAATGTAAAGTGCTTTTTTACATGTCTAAATTTTAATGTCTTCAAGGTCATCAAACTAAAAATAACACATTCCTCTATAAAGCTTTCTTGAGAGAAAATTTTATCTTACAATAAATAGCTCATCGCTCACTAACAAGTCTAAGTCCAAAAGTATTGCTACTAAAATTTCAGTTACTACACACACAGGTTTGTTCTAAACAAAACGTCTGAACATGTCTCTGTGATCATTGGACAGCTGTAGATAAGTTCTCTCAATAATATCTTTGCCTTAGTCTAGAACAGGGGTGGGGAATGTCTGGCCCAAAGGTCCACCAAATCATCTGATCAAGGAGCTCTGGTAGCATAGTGGTTAAGAGTTGGGCTGCTAACCTCAAGGTCGGCAGTTCAAAACTACCAGCTGTTCCATGGGAGAAAGATGAGGCTTTCTGCTCCTGTCAAGATTTGCAGCCTCAGACAGGGTCATTATGAGTCAGAACCGACTCCATGGTACTTAACAACAACAATCATCTGATCTGGCCCTGACAAGGCAACCGCAGTTCCAGCCATCGATCACACTGTTGTTGTTAAGCGCCGTTGAGTCGGATTTGACCCATAGTGATCCTGTATAATTAAATTTTTGACCAAATATAGGAAGCTAATTTTTAAGTTGATAATTTTGTATGGTCTGTGAGTGATGTTATAAATTTTGGCAGCAAAAAGGTTTCCTGCCCTTGGTCTTGAAGGACATCATGCTGGTAAAGTGGAGGGTCACCCAAAAAGAGGAAGACCCCAAATGAGACGGACTGACACAGGGACAGCAGCAATGGACTCAAATGTAACAAGTGTGAAACAGGTGCAGGACAGGGCAGTGTTTTGTTTGTTGTGCCTGGGGGAGTCACACCCTTAACAAGTCATGTTAAGGTGCCTTGAAAAAAAATTTAAAAAGAGGATACGTTTTGTGCCGTTGGGGGAAAAACAGATTTTGGGGTTCAGGGCTAATATAAAATTATTAACAAAACTCAAGCGGACATCTTCCTGAATCACTGAAGCTATGCAATGAGTTTATGGGAATGCTGTCTCACATAAAACAACAGTTCTGGGATGGACCAAGTATTTTATGAAAGGCTGGAAGATCTCAAAAATCAATTCAAGGCATAAAGGTCAGCTCAGAAAGGTTAGGGCAACTGTCTTTTGGAATTTCAAAGGGCTAAGAGATTTTCTCAAGGCCACAGGGCAATTACGGGGAACTTATTAGGAAGTAATTTTAAGAAAATGAAACACTGCATTATTGATCAAAAGGTCAGAATTGCACCAAGGAATTTATTTCCATCACGATATTACACCTGCTTAGTGGTTATGA